ATAATTGATTCGTCGATTTGTAGGACGTCCAGAGTTCCTATCTCTAAGCCGATATGGAATTTTTTAGTTCGTATCAAAACTATGTTGTTAAAAAAGAAAGAAAGCTATGAGGAAAGCTTCTTCTCAGTTAGATATTTGAATGTTATTAGTAATCCGATCGAAAAAATTTTCATTACTTTTCTTCAATCTTATTAAACACTATATTGTACGTTCTTACTAGCAAAACACTTTTCCGGACCCACGGATGAAAACAAATAATGCGTGATCACATCGAATCGAACACAGAATAACCATTTGCTAAAAATATGCAAAGTACGCATCGGTTTACCAGGCCAGAGTAAAAACGAAGCAACTTCCAGAACTATGCGCGACATATCATTTTCGTAAATATATTTTAGATAAATAAAATAAGAAGATCTTTTTAGTCTCACCCCAGTGGTGAGAAGAAGGTACCGTTTGTGAGCAAATCGCTTAAAATTCGTCTGAAATCATTTTCTGCTTTCATCTTTAAACTGTCTGAATGAAGAATGCATCAAATAAGTGAATGGTCGTGAGAATGAACGGCAACTTACTCAAGCTTAAGTAAGCCACCATAAGTACGTATATGCTGGCAATATTTATGGGAAATATATTTCCCAAAGTATAGCGTAGATATGAAGAGTAAAATACACTTCCCCCTCGTTTTACACGGTACACATTCTTCGTTCTTTCTTTTCTTTCGTGGTTTTTTCCAAAAAGGCGAACTTCGACTTCACAAGCACTTTTTCAACTGAAGTTCAGTTCATTATTTTGAAAATATTTGGTTATATTATGTTGTTTACGACGGTCTTCTGGTCTAGTAAACGGACGATGAGACTATACTCACTAAAAGAATTGGATTTTGCAAGAGCCGTATACTTTTGATATATTAACAAATGCGAATATGACAAGGCATACAAAAAGGTAACTAAAAAGGACCAACAATCGAAACAGAATTTAATGAAGTGCGATGAAGAGAGTATAACAACAATTCATAGAAAAATATCTATCGTATAAAGGAGTAATGATAGTAATTTTTTAAATGCTTAACAGTTACATCGAAATAGTTTTTGATGTTCTAATTATTTATGTAGGTCAAGGTCACTCAATCAATTTTCCACGTATGAAGTCATTACTTAAAAGGATTTAAGATTACGACTATTTAAAATAATGATTGCCTTCTTTCTCGAAACTACGTTTTGCAAGTTAGCCATCTAATTAGCGAGCTTCAGTTTCAAAGCTACTGCTGTCATATAGTTTCAGAGCAATTTTTCCTAATGTGTGTGACACACCTACTATTTTTTGGATTGACTAACTTTGGTCGATTTTATATTCAATAAATTTTGTCAAAAAAATAAATAATTATTTTAATAAAATGAATATTTAAAAAAAATCGCAGGTTTTTTACCAGAATGAATACGAATACGAATAGATCAAAGAAGCTGACATTGCTTACGAATTGAGGTTAGACGTGTAAGTGCATACAATGTTTCGCCCAGGGAGAATGAAAGGAAAATGAATGTTTGGGCCGTAGTGCTGCGTTGCTATGCAGCTTTCAAGAAAATTACTAAATGTAACTTTTTTAGGTCTTCAAGAAATTTACAAGTATGTTTAAAAATAGATTTCATTAGAGTTTTTAGTCTTTCGGGAATAAATTCCAGAAAATGAACCGCAAGTTTGCACCCGTAAAGTCAGGTTATCATTTAGGCGTACTTTAAGTTAAAAAATTAAAGCTATGTCTCAACCGCCACTTTTCGTTTCATTAGTTGTGGTAATTTTATTGTAAGATGTGTTAATATTTTGAAGTTCGCGATCTACAAGATTTCGCATACAAGAATTTTCATTTTTGTTCTATACGAATTGATGGGGAACAAATCTGCTGCGTAAAGAGGGAGATTGTGTGCACTAAAGTAAGGGTTTAGGATTTGTGGTATAACATCATATCAAGTAACACCATTTTCACATATGGTTGAAGGTTTTTTGCTTCATTAATAACAAACAGCGAAAATTGTGAATTTCACATCAGATTCATCCTGAGGGAATTCCGCAAACTGTGCATTAAATATTGCTTTTGCAAGCTTTTTGGAGTCATATGCTTAAGTTATTCCCCAAAGGTTCATTGAATTTTTCTTGTTGCTATATCCCGCTCATACACAAGATATTGATTAACACGATTGTTTATTATGAGTTTGCCTATCGGCGCACATATGTGGTATGGTCCCATGTTAAATAGTGAGAAAAACGAATTTAAATAAAAATGGAAATGTTAAATATTTGTGTTTACATAACATTGCTTCTCCATGACATTCAGGTTAAAATTTTATGGTTTCCATATAATACCACGGCAATGCCAAAGGCCACCCACGCCACACACAGTAAGCGCAATACCAACAATCACCGAATGTGTTTGCTGATGACAATGACGACGACCATTAGATTGATTATTTGTGTAGTAACTGGGGTTGGCTGGTTAGCTGGTTAGCTGGTTGATTCGTTGCTTCATCGGGCTCATTGATATTACAATATGTTTAATATAACTCATATTATCGCTGACATTAACTTGTAAGTGATAAAATAAAAGTACAGGGACTACCAAATTAAAAGGAATTTGTTTATAGATTATAAATATGACTAAATTTCCCAGTATACATTTTGAAAGAATACCAATTATTCATTAGCTGTCGCTTCAGATAAAGCTATAAAATTTCAATTATGATTAATTATTGAATTTAGCAAAGAGCAATTGTAATGGGTTGAAAATTGGAGCCATATGTTCTTAATTAATATGAAGATATGATCGGAGGGAAGTAAGAGAAATACAAAATATCTCAACAGGTGAATATCAACTCGAGTACTAGTATATTATACTAGAATACTCATCAGAATCCCCACAATGTACGGCAAAGACTTTGTCGAACGCTGAGGAAAGTGAAATCGATTTGGTTGTGTCGGACGGATTATAAGCAAAATAGCGATTATGGTCTTGGAATTCACTTCAGTAACATAAACAAAAAAACTTGACATTATAATAATACCGTATAAAAATTAGCAGCGAATTTGCAAACTGGCCGAATTTTTTGTTATGGAAATTTTCGTTAGCCCATATACGTGAAAATATTTGCATCGATATGCAACATCATACCGTTGCTAAGTCGAATTAGCGGGTTAAGAGCCATTTCCAGATATTGGATTTATTTATGACCAATTTGGGGTATATTTCAGAGAGAGGCGTAAACCAACATAGATCAACTGGGCCCTGAACGATAAACGGGAAGATAAGAATTTTTCTCATAGAGTCATTTTTTTGACCAATTTAGCAAGTCAAAGCCTTCCATGGATGTTTACGAAAAATTTGAAAAACTTTGATGAAGTATAACAAATAGCTTTAGACTTGTTGAAAAACAACCGTTTTAAAATTGATGCTACACTCTATTATCTTTACTAAAGTCGTTGCCTCTTGCTTAACAAAGTTAACTACCTTATACCGATTTATTGAAAACAGTGCAAAAGTAATTTTTTTCACTTGCTCTTCGAGGCTTAGATTGAGATACCTCGGTAAGTTTGGCCCCTTGTAGGCACAAGCTGAAATTTATAGATCAACCATTCTCGGACAAAGAGCACAGTGTCTTAGCCAAGTCGATATAAATCGAAGTGAACTCTTCATTCCTACCTGCTCATGTTGATTTCCATGTCACCAAAAGACCAGACCACCAGAAACAACGAATCTTTTAAATTATTATAATACTGCACCTAGTATGACTTACATGAACAGTTGTGGAAATTATGTAAATTATGCAATGACTCATAAATTTGATCCCGACTATAGCAACACGGCGTAATCCTTTTAGTTAATGGTTGTTTTTTTTTTATTATTATAACTTTGTATTTTATTTAATCGTAACGTAATCAATTAAAGGCGATCCTTATTTTATTCTTAGTTAGAAGACGTTGTAATTAAACTATGAATATGATAAACGAATGAATGAATGAAATAACAATGCGTTTAATGATAACAACGACATAATGTCATCCCCGTTATTTTATTCGATATATTCATTTACCGCAAGTAAATCAACCGTCGAATATAAAGCTTGATAATAAAAGTTTAATAACAATTTAGTTTTGTATTTTCTTTCTAATATCAACGATATAAAAAAAAAATTTCAACACACTGTTTAACATATAAATTTTTCTGATATTTATTCCAAAAATTTTAATCCATTAGTTGTAACATTTACAGGTTAAAGTTAAATTTCAATTATTTTTATATGTATATGTAGCCATTAAAAATACCGACGCTTGCACATATAAGTTGGACGATGCTTGAATTTCATAAAAAGCTTTCTCATGTTTTTTAAAAGTTGTTAACTTTTATAGTAGAAAAAAAAATTGCTCACTTTAAAGCAAATATCCGATGCTCACTACAAAAGTAAATTCGGCTGTGCACCGTAGGCGGAATGGCATATTATACTTCGATAAAACTTACCGCACCTTAAATCTGTGCAGATGCTTATGCAATTATGCATTTTGCAAAATTGAACATTGAATTAAATGGAGGCAAATAAACGATTCTATACTTGGGCCTGGTTAGCAAATATATATTCTTAACTAAGGCTTTTTCATAGGGAGCGGTAAAGTCACTATAGCCACCCTTATGCTCAACAGAAGCTAGGCCTAGACGTAGGTATAATTAACACCTATAGGTTCTTAACTATGTCTATTTCACACGGAACGATGAAGCGCTTATAACCATTTTTATCCTCAACGGAAAATGTTAAAAAAAAGAGGACTTTATGAAAATTACACAAGTTTTTCATTCGACATAGTTTACATAAAAAAAAAAGCTATTTTTATTCAATTTATGGATAGAGTCCGTTCACCGTTAAAAATAATGTTATATTGGAGAAATATTGTTGGTGAGTTTAGCTTCGAATCTCATTAAGAGAAAAGTTTTTAAGACAAATATTAAAATAATTACTTACTCAGTTTCGTTATTTTCAAAAACAAGTTGACCTTCTTGCGGCTCATAATCTTTGCCTGCTTTGGCAGTCCCATCTTCCGTCCAGTAAGGAAGGAGGACTTTACCGCGCGCACCCGAATAACGTTGCACTTTAACCTCGTAGACACCAACCGATTCAGTGAGTTCATGTGAAGATTGTGTAATTGCAAAAATGCCAGCGTGATCATCATCAAGAATCATCACTGTAGCAACTTTGGGTACCGCTAACACAGCCGGATCTGAGGCATTACTTAACCGTATATAGAAATGTTCGTCTTGTTCAAAAACGTCGTCATCAATAATTTCAATTTTGAATCGTTGCTCATCCACACCGGGTGGAAAATTGAGTACACCTTTTTTACCCACATAATCACTACCAGCCTCAGCACTACCGTCTTCCGTTTCGTATTCAACCGTCGTATAACCAGATAAATCACCCCGTCTCACTACGCGTACTTCGAATTCACCGCAACTTTCCATTACCGTGTAATGGCCGGGGTCGAAGAACACGCGCAATATGGCTTCATCTTCTTCAACATTAACATCGACTCGCTGCAATTGAGCTTTTATCTCATTTAGATCGCTTTGAGCCCGCTCTTGTATTTTACGCATAATATTACCGCTGCCGACCATTCTTCTTGTTGCTTGTATACGATAAAAAGCCCTGGATTTGGGGCCTCGATTAATCATTTGTTCTTGTGCAATCATTTCTAATTGCTCCAGATCACTTTGTGGATATTTGGCGCGTAACTCCTTTAGCAAAGAAATGTATTCACGTCGCGCCTCATCGAATTCTCTCATTTCATCACTGTCTGCAGCTAATTTATCGGTTTGCTGCTGCTGATCCATTTCGAGAGCTGCGTCGCCCTCGGCACTCACAATAACGCCACGCTTGTTCATCCGATAATTTTTATCTAAATACTTAAATATCAATAGACGACGATCGGCTATATATGCTGTCAGTACGGTGGCAGGAAAAAACATGAATGTTAGTAGGCCTTCCCATACCTCGACACGACCTGGAGATATCTGAGCCAAAATCAAATACAGCCATATATATGCGAACACCGACCACGTTGCAGTTACAAAAAACACACGCAAATGCTTGATCTTGCGGACCTCGCCATTCGGAATCACCACAATGCACAATGCAATGATGACAAATAAATTATATGCTGCAGAACCTACTATTGTACCTGGGCCCAGATCGCCAGCTTGGAATTTCTTTGCAAACATTTCAATTATCGAAAGCAATATCTCAGGCGCACTGCTGCCCAAAGCCATAAGGGTGAGATTGGCAACGGTCTCATTCCACACTCGCACCACCACAATTTGTTTTTCACCATTCTTCTTCTTAATAATAACTTCTTTCTCCTTGGACGTGATCACTTCAATTGCCGCCATAAAGCGATCGGACACAATTGAAACGCCTATGAACAAGTAGATCATAACGAAAAAGTAAACAAGGCCCCGTGCAACTCGATCGCCAGTTGATAAATTTTTTTGCGGTTTCCATGCAGCCACCATTAGACCGTCCGGACAGACGCCCTCCTCATCAACGTCATTGTTTTCAATTCCACGTGATGCAACCATCAGCATACCGTCGTCATAGTCGTCCTCATGAAGACGCTTTAACATTGTTGAATTACTAAAACTTTCATCATCGGCGGCCAGTGTGAGCGTTATTGTACAACACGCCAAGAGCAAGCACAGCTTCCACATAAATTGTGTAAATGACCGATCACAAGTTGATCCCATTGAATTTCTTTGATTATAGTGCTTACGTAATGTAAAGGATATGTACACGAAAATTTGTTAGGATGTGTCCAAGCGGTTGTAAAACAGCAGAAAGCCACCTCGTTTTTAAATGCTGGCTTTGGTATATATTACGTGTAAATTTGTTGTTGTTCGTTATCAAATAGAAGACGGGATCAGTCAATTATTCGAAGAGTCTTATCGGATATTTATAAAAAAAAATTGCATTGGAATTCCTTTCTTGACAAGTGATACAGTGATGGGCACTCGATCGCCTTATAGCGTTTTATAGATATAGGACAACACTTTCAAGCGTTTATTCTTAAGCGTATGGCTTTGGTTTTGACTTTGACTTTGGACGGTTTAAGATCTTTTACAATAGCGAGTGGTGGCGTTGCGTGATTGAACGTGTTGTGAATGTATATTTGTGAGTGCTGTGAGGGAATCTTTGCTTCTTTGTTCTGCGTGCGAAGTGCTTTCAAATGCGAATTAAATTTTATCCTGGGGAAGTAAGGGAAGCTTCTCTTTTTCTTACAGCAACTACTGGGTATGTGACTTTTTACCAACGTTTTTCTAACTTTTAATTTTTTGTTACTTTTTTATTTTTATTGCTTAAATTATATGTGAGTGATTTAAATTATCATTTTTGTTTTTGTTTATAGAAAATATTGTAAGCGATATCTCGTTATGGGTATATATATATTTATTACGTGTATATGTCTGCTGATGAGAGTGTTAGCGGTGCGTGTGTCACAAGCAATTCGATTAATAAATTTGGTTTAAACGTTTTCTTCTTTGCCTAACTCTTTTTTTATGTTTTGTTTTTTTAAAGTTCGTATTTACAAGATATTTGCAATTCTTCCAGGCTTATTCATTGATTTACGTGACAATCTGTGATCAAGCGGGATGTTGGAAAAGCTGAGAGTGTGGATGTGTGTGCGCGTAATGCGTGAAACAAACTAATAAGCTCCTCCGTCATGCTCGTCGCTAATTTTATAATTAACGGCAAGCATTTATTTATACTGTTGCTGCTATTGTTGTTGTAGATGTTGTTTATTTAATTATTGAGATGCTATCGATGAGTGCTGATCAAATCTATGCGGGATCTATTATTGTTGTTATGTCTTGTGTCAGTTGCTTTAAACGTCTTAAGTGCACCCTCTTACTCTTTTTCGTTCCCGTTTTCTCTTTCAATTTAATGCCAATTTACCGTTGGTTGGTTTCTTATTTCAAGTGTAACGTTATTTCGGGTACGATTTCCCAAATAGACTGCCAGATTTTGTTTTTTTTTTTTTATATCCACCCGTATACTATCTTGCCATGTTGAAATTGTAAATACTCTGCGCGTTTGACTTGATCCAAAGATTTATTAGCCCTGCGATCAGAAATAAGAAAATAAAATCATAAGCAATTTGTGAAAGATATTTTAAATATAATATAAATACGAAAAGCTATTACTTAATTTACGTAGTAGATGCGTTTTTCGAACCATTTCCCTATTTAACTCCGTATAGACCAAAATAAATGATATCAGAATTTACAGCAAAAGTAGGGAAAGAACGCACAACTAAATTTTGAGGAACAAGCGAGGATTCGTTCATTATAATCGTGTGAAATGAAAGAACATTCACATAACGGGACAGAGAAGAAAAAATAGTAAATAATAATTTTTACGGATTGGTTTAAAAATTATAATAGGTGCTTGCGTGTATTTTGATCAGCGGCATCTGTTGATGAAAATGATAAAGTAATGCGGAATATCAATGTATGTAAAGGTTAAACTCGATGATTTTGACCTTTCTATGCATAAAAAAATGATTTTTTCATTCAGTATTATCAACTCGTTCAGTGCATACAGACGCTAATCATAGAAAAATCAAAATTGGAAAATTTTATTTTCGACATTATTAATTTTGTTGTTTGATTTAAAGAAATATGCTCCCGAAGCTTATCAAAGACTTTTAGAAGCTTATGGTGATACTGTTCTGCCATATGTCAACTGTCAATTGCGATTTCAACCGTTCGAAAGTAGCGATTTTGATGTCAATGATAGAGAAAGTTCGAAGAGAAGGAACTGCAAGACTTATTGGGTGAAAAGCCGACTTTCAAAGAACTTTCGAACAGCTTAGGCGATAAGAAAGATCCGAAAAGAGGAAGAACAGCTACCATACGACTGAAATTGCCATTTCAAACTGTTTCAACATCGCGCTTTGATTGCTTGCCCGGCAAAAAAAGGATTTCTGTAACGTATTGAGACTGGTGATCAAAAGTGCATCTACTACGACAATTCCAAGCGAAAAATCGTTGATGCGCTGCGTGCTTTGCTGTGCATATGGTGAGTTCAATAAGGTATGTTTCACTACGACACGCTAAAACCGAAGGAAACTGTCACTGCAGATCCCTATTGACCTTAATTCGACAAACAAAGACGCATTGCTGGAGAAAGGACCAGCAACTGCGGTTAACAGGGGCAAAGTCATGCTCTTGCATAGCAACGCTCGGTTTCACGTTCCAAGGGTTCTCAAGGATACACTGTTGCAGCTCGAACGGGAAGTTCTGGCGCACCCAGCTTACTCACCAAACAAAGCGCCTTCTGATCACCACCATTGATTGCGGTATGACTTGACTGGGACGCGGTTTCGAAATTCTGAAGAAATGCAACAATAGGCCCATGATTGGATCGCCGCCGAACCAGAAAGATGGGGAAAAGTCATAGAAAATGATGGAAAATTTGTTGATTAATGTATATTGTAATATATATAATATAAACGTTTTGATTAATGTATATTGTAATATACATAATATAAATGGTTTGATTGATACATGTTGTAATATATTAATTTTTCTCAATAAAAGGCTTTTTAAAATGAAAAAATGATCAGAATGTATGCAAGCACCTGATCATTTGCTAAATTATTCTTCAAAGTTAAATATCTGCCTGACTTAACAAGACTGTAGACAAGAAGTTGCTAAGACTTAAGAGCTGGTGCACCAACGTTTTCAAAGTAATAATGGTTAGTTCTCAAGGTATTAAAAATAAAATTGGGCTTTTGCATTCAATCGAGACATCTTCATAGAATGCACTTTGCAAGCTGAAAAACTACGGAATATCTTTTAATTGTTGGACCTCAAGTTTTTATTCACGATCAGAAGAAGATATCTCTATGCAAAATCTATTTTAGACCTAAAAATTTATTTAAAACTAGAAGGTTTTATGCAATTTACCTTGATTTCTCGATACCATGAGTTGAAACAAATATGTAATATATATATAGGAATTTTGGCTTCTTAGGGGCTCAATACTTCAGTACTTTATTGGCTTAATTTATTGTTTATATAAAATGGTATTTAAAGCATAGCAGAATATACAAAATTTTTATACAACATTTTAACTTCTTTTTTTTATTACTAAAAAATACTTCGCGCAATAAAGTAGAATCATAAACATTTTAATTAGGTATCAATTAACCATAACCAATTTGCACCAGCAGCTGAGTAATTCCTAAAATTAGAAACGAAAAATCACATGCGTCTGCGAAAAAATTTGTTTGGGTTTTTCAAATAGTAATTAATTACAAAAATCATTACATTTAAAAAATTGAAAATGTGTTATGGGCAAAACTAACCCAACTGCGTTAGGAACAATATTTTGAAGATTTGCGATTTGCTTTAAAAAATGCTTCTGAGTAAACACTGCGGTCAAGAACAACCTCGGATAGGTTGCAAAAGGAAAATTGCGAATTTTATGGAAATTCAATACAAAGATTTTCAAAAAAATATTTTAGAACGTATCACCACTACTACTAGTACAATTTTAATGTTACATATGGTTCGTAAGCTTAATGAAAATAAGTAAAAACACTGTAGTGAGACGCGGACAATCATTAAATACCCTACACAATTTCGTTTAAGACTTATAACGAATTTTAATAATAAAATGATATATAGCAGGAAATTGAGAAACGTGTTGTAATCGGAAATATTTTCAGTACCGTTCGCCCCTAGGCCAAAAGATGTCGGTGCATCAAAGTATCTCAAAAATTGCGGACCGTAAATTTAACATGGTAAACGAATAAACAAGCTTAAATCGTTTGAGAAAGAGATTCTAAATCGATCGGCATAAGAAAAGGTGGGCCTGCCTCGGTATTGCATATGTTCGCACAAGCCTAATATATGACTACGCCGCAAGCAGTGTATATTGCAAAAACGTAAAAAGATTGTAGGCGGGCCATTCCGACCCTTAACTACCCTACACCACTTCTTCTGCTACTACGTTGTTCATACAATTATTTCTCAAAATAAGGCTTTATATTGGGATTGGTCGAACGAATGGTCCGATCCATTTTCAATAGCGTACGTCCTTAGACCATGGCAACAAATGTAATCGAAATGGCTCAAAAATTGCAATCATGGTTATATTGATCATGAATAAGATAGACACAGGCAGACAGATAAGCTTGAATCAGTTCAGAAAATGATTTTGAATCGATTGGTAAAAAAAGAAAGTGAACCTATCTCCCACTATACTGTATGTTTACTGAATAACAAGCAACTAGCAAGAAAGTCGTTGCCATTTCTCATTTCCGAGAAATAATAGGAGAGCTTTCGCTGCAGAATGAATAGATTTCGTAATTTTATAATATCGTTTAAATCAGTCTTAACGCTAGACTTTCAAGTTCAAACAAACTTTACGGAAATATGCTTGCCCTAAACGTATTAAGGGACTTCTAAATCCACGTAAGATTACGTGAAAAAAATCGACATAAGAATTTATATAATCTTTGAGGAAATCCTCCTTTGTGCATAAACGTTAGGAAACTATACGATATGTACGTGCTTAGGTATGTGATTACATATAGCACTCAGTTGTATCTTACACAGCTAACAGTATAAGCATATATATATATAGATTTCTTATTAACAAATAGTCATGTATACGTACACGTATACGACAACGTAAAAGCAAACAACGAATTCCTTAGTGGGAGTCCGTTTTCACTTACGTATATGCGTTATACAGCAGAATTTATTTAAATATATTATTTTTTGAGGAAAACATTTCAAATTTTCGTTGTTTACACACACAACAAACGTGCATGCTAAATATCAGAGGAGAGGTAAAACTCTTTACGGAATTAAAGGTGATCATTGTATGATGATGATGATAGCGAGCAATATTCTCATGGTATCTCAATTATGTGCACAGTCCTTTGCAAAAGAATCTTTTAAAAACTGGAAATTTTGTGATATGAGTAAACAGTATAGCCCTCTAGCTAAGTTGATTTGTTACTGTTTTAAAAACAAGTACAAACCACAAACAAACATATTGCGCCGTAAGGTATATGTCGAATAGTATGACCCTAGTAAAGATTTGCCTCTTTTAGTTTAACAACTTTTTATATGTTTTAATGAGTATATTTTACTAATTCCATCAGGATTATTTGAGTTAAATCATGAATTTTCATATTGCAGTCAGTAAATTTGATTCCTAAAAAAAGAAATGCGAAGCTTTTAGCCTGGCTAGAGTGCAGGTCAATCGATATTTTCATATCTTTACATAATCAGCTACGTGGATAAATCTTGCAATCACTTATTTCAATAAAAGCTGTGTCCGAAGTTGCAACATGCTTTTTATAATCCCAACTAAGCTAACCTTATCAAACGGTTTACCGAATCATCGCCGATCATTATACTCTACAATACTTAAGGTATGTGGGAAACAATTTATAATATTTTATATATTTCATTTATTTAATTTATTATCTCTTAGAGCTTCTCTCTTAATGATGTAGAACAAATTTATGCAACAAGTAACGGTTCCTTTACTTCTTGTTTAAGACTTTATTGCAAGTTAATATTAAAATAATAAGTTATTATTGAATAAATGGCGAACCGTAAAAGCCGACGACCGGCTTTAAAAGTATCAATTGACAGTCGGAAATTAATTAAGCGCGCGGAAAAATTACAAGAAAGCAGCGGCCATTTAATTCAATTCTATTAAAATGTATACCAACGACAATGCGAATAGAATTCCATAGGAAGTTCAATAGGAGCAATGTAAGCACTGTATTAAATTCAACCGTTAATATTGCAACGCAACAGTTAAACGATATCGGTCAAGCGATTTTAAATTTAAAATCACATAGCGTAAAATCGCATTGCGTAATGGAAATAAAACGAACGAATACGAAACAGCAAAAATAGTTTTACGTAGTCAATATGAGAAGTGAGACGGTAACAATAAACGCAACAGTGGTTAAATCGATCTGTGATGATAATCTTCAAAGTCAAAGAACAATAAGCAATTTGTCTAATCATGCTATCGGAAAGGACTCGTATCGCAAATTTTACACAAACGAATGCATAAAGATTGAT